AAACCGTGTTCCGATCGATCGATCGATCACGATCAAGTTGTCTTTGCAATAGAAGCACGCTTGTAAACGCGGCTTGTCGATCCGACGGCCCTTTGTCTTGGCCGATGCAGCCATTTACACGAAACAAACAGCGTGGAGGGTCCCGCGCAATGTCCATTTCCTGTGGACCTTCGATGTCGTGCCACGAAACTGCCGCGATAAGTCACCCGGTGAATTTCTTGTTGCGGACAATGATCGATCAGTCCGCGAGCGGCAGCAGTATCTCCCCGAAATGGATCACGTCGAAAATCCAGCATGAATAGAAATCGATGATAATCCTTCGAGAGCGAATTCCGTTGACTTGTACGTTTCCCTCTGTTCGTTTTACGACCGGCGAACACAACCGCGAGAGGCTAAAAACCTCGAAACTCCGAGCGCTCCGAGGCTGGATCGACAGTTTTATTGACAGTTTTATGAATAAAATCCTGACGACAGAAGTTTTTAAACTGTTCGTATCCCCCGCGAAGCCATCGAAACTCTTCTAGAGCCTTTAGATCTCTTCCGGAGCCTTCGAATCCTTTCTACAGCCTTTGGATCTGTTCTAGAGCCTTGAAATTCTTTCCGGATCCTACAGCCACTTTCCACGGACCTTGAGTTCTTCGCGGGACTTCCGAGATCGCTATACCCTTTCGAGATCCAGCGAAACGCGATCAGCTCTAGCGAGCGGAGGAAAGCGCTTCGGCCGTATCGCGCGTAAACGGCGCGACGCTCGAACTCAGTTCCCGAATAAATTCTCTCGTCGATGATAAATCGAACGTCGCATCGCCGCGAATTTCTCTCGAACCCGACAGCCGAACCGGCCCGTATAAATTATCCCCGGCCGGGAATGCTAGCGCGGGTCCGCTTGATTTATACGTCGCGATCTGTCGTTGCCCGAGCAAAAAAATCGACGAAAAAGGACGAAAAGGGACGAAAAAGGACGAAAAACGAGGAAAAAACAACGGGATCCGCGAACGATCGTGCGCAGCACGCGTCGATTTAATTTCGGCCGGCTTTAAGTTCGCCGACTCGCTGGCTTCCGCGGATAAATTAACCGGGGGACCGGTTTAAAAGCTCCCGGAACAGAGGCTCCGAAATTTCGGCGAACAACGGGCGCATTCGTCTCGTGATTCAGCCGCGCCGCTCGAAAACCGAGGCGCGACGAGGGAGAGCGTTCGTTTATTTTATCGAGGCACGCGAAACGATTAATGAGCGACGCGGACGGGAACTTCATCTCGGGATTGCCACGCTAATCCCGTTAAGTGGTCGGGAAAATGATTTCGGGACCGGCGAAAGTTTCCTTCGCGGGCGCGGCCGATGTCGCGACGGATTAAACGGCTCGCTGCGAACGCTTCGCTTAAACGTTAATTCGTCAACGATGAATTATTATCGGCCGGCACCGAAAACTTGCCGGATTTTCTTGCCTGTTTTCGGCTGGCCGCGACCTCGCTCGTTCACGGCCCGATGTGCTGGTCCGCTTTCGTTCGTTTTCTCCCGTCTCCGCCGCGCCCGGGATCGTCATTTTCCTGTTTTTCGTGTGACTCGAAAGTTCCGATACTCGAGAACCGAGATGCCACCCCGGCGTGTCGCTAATGCCAAGATCAATGTTGCACCGTTCCGCGGAACCTCGCCGATGTCTCGATTAATGCCAGAAATAATTCGACGACTCTCCTGGCATCCGAAAAACGACCGTGACGACACGATTTTCTTATTATTAGTTTATTTTATTACTACTTTATTACGCGTCGGTGAGTCAGCATTCCGAAGAAGGCAGAAGAGACGTACAGATGGTTAAATTAAGCTGACTGCGACGAAAGTTGAGCCTCGAATCAACCTAACGTACAGTTTGACCAAATTCAATGACGGGCCGACTCGTATTTCGGTGTGTTCGAGCAATAGAGACTCTCGACTGACACTAGAATATTAAGAACATCGACGAATAGTAACCGATCTTTAAGAGGAAACGTTGAGCAACAGTGAAAGAATGTAATCCGAAGCTCTCGAAGCTCGTTTAGTTCGTCTTGCTTCATTGTTGCGCAGTAAAAGTGATCCACCGATTTATTTTGGATTCATAACACGTAGCCCTGTCGGTCGCGTAACTATTCGGCCTATTTTTAGGCGGGTCGTGAGTCAGGATCCCTAAAACGGTCTACGAAGCTTTCCCGCCGGTCGATCGTACGCCGCCTGCGGAAATTCCGCGCGATCGAAAGTTGATTTACAAATCCTCCTTTCTAATAACACGCGTACCACGCGTTCGAACGAAACGTTCATAAAACTGCTTAACGTTTCCGTCTGAGCCGTACGATAACAATTCCACGTCCAATCGGATAATATAAATCGATCTTAACGCGTTCGCGTCCCTTCCGCGAGCAAACCGTCGCTCGTATTTCGCCGCAGTTGAATAGAAACGGGTTTCTAATTCCCGACGCGGCGCGGCGCGGCACGGACCTGTTATTTAACCGAATCGGACGCCGAACAGAATTTCGTGACAATTCGGACTAATGGCGCGGCCTCGGTCGAACCCGACAATAATTCAACATTTAATTATGAATCTGTCATTTCACCGGCCGCGTTTCTGCCGCGAGACCGCAAACCGTTACGCGGCCCGGCCGGTCGAACCGTTGCGGATACATGGACGAAACGGCCGCCTCGTCGCGCCGTTCTGGATATTGTATCGGACCGGAAGATAGATCGCCGTGTCCGGCCTGGAAACAAAGTCAAGAGCAGCCCGTCGATATTTCATCGCTGCCCCGGCGAAATAAAAATACGATACTTCCTTCGCCACCCACTTGCCACGCTGGATTACGTAAGTCACTGGAAAAGGGAGACTTTTGCCTTATTTCTCGGTTGCTTAGAGCATATTATCGTTCTGCGTGTAATCGTCAAGGTTAAAGTCATTTTATTTGTGTATCGAGTGGGGTCTTGGTTTAATTTACCGTTTATAGGGCTGAGTGTTTAAGACGTCGCTTGATCGATCGGTGCTTCTCGAAGCTTCGACGAATCTGCACGCGTTTTTTAATGTTTATTTCATCTTTCTTCCTTCGAGAGCGATTCTTTGTGTACGCTGACTTTATTGTAATATTTGCCTTACCGTGATTCCGATATCGATCGGAATAGGACCTTTTAATACCGCTCATAAATTCCCGACATTCAAGACGAAATTTCGACACACCGTGGGCTATCTTTCTGAATTCCGAGTGCGCGGCCAAAATCAGCATCCGGCGCGGATCATGCAACATTCTAATAATTTCTATTTTTGTATTTTTCAGCTGTTCGGTGGACGTACCCGCCGAACGTCCTACGTAGTGGCCGATTTTATTCGCGGCCGAATTAAATCTGTTTGACGAAGCGAGATTTAATGAAGAGTTCGATACTATTTCGATTATCGGGATGGAGATTCGTGTGTTTCGGTTATTGAAAAGTGATTCCCTCGCAAATTCCTCTCGTGGCACTTTATCATTTATTATCGGACAGTCTTGAAAGGATACGAGACCGCAGCCGGGAATATAAGGATCGTTAGTAGCAGCTATAAGTCGCAACTACGAAGCATCCACTTTGTCATCTTTAAGCCCTTTCTTCCTTGATGGCAATAGATTACACACTTTAGCGATTCCGCTTCCGCCCGCCCACCGGCGGATAGAATGTCAGCGTTTACGCGAGACCGTCTCATCGAGTAAAAAGGTTACACAGAAAAATCCCAAAGGGTGAAATATTCTTAACACCTCTGGCGGCGAGTAATTTTCTCGCTCGCACGAACCCGATCACCTTCGAAGAAGGTTCGATTCAAGCTTCATATAAATCAATCTCACCGAGTCCATTATGGACGTTACTAATCGTTTCGTGTTCTGTCGTTCAACTTGAAAAATTTCTCGAATCGAATACATTCTCGGTGTACATTGCCGTGGAAGGATCGCATATCAAAGATAAAGTTTGCGGAGAGGTGAAAAACGCGAATGAGAAAAGGATAGGCGAAGCCCAAATGGAAACGGTGTTAAATGGTAATCGATACGAGCGGGAAGAAACGATCGCGCGGGTACGAGCCGAAATGAACGAACTCGAACGTGACGTTCGGCAATTAATTTAAACGTTCCCGTAAAAAGAATCCGCCTCGTTATTCCAGTTCGCGCGTGCCCCTCTTCGTTACCGAAACTTCACAGGGAAGAGCACTCTCGATGTTTCTCGGCTAATCGACTGCGCTCGCAGCTTCGCGGCCCACTCGAACCGTCTTCGAGCCCGCCTTCGAACCCGTCGTCGTCCCGGACTTAAACGAATCTTCCGCCGGTAATCAGTGAACCGAGGACGATCGAACTTTCGACCAACCGGGGGAAAAACCCCTTGATTCCGTGATGCGCCCCAAGCCCGCTAATGAGATACTCCGTCGAGGGTCGAATTATCACCTGTCTACCCTCCGATGTTCCTTTTGCCGTTACAGCGACGAGAAATGAACTCACTTAAACCGGCTTACGGGCCGGACAAGGGCGGTTTTCAGACAAAAATCCTTTTAAATTAGGACCACCGGATCGCGGTTTAATCTCCTTCGGTGGAGATCGACTAGATATCGAGAGGAACGGTTCAATGTCCAACCAATTCATCTCTTCGAGGTTTCTTCCGACGGTTATTAACAATACCGAGCTTTACTTGCGCTTTATTATATTTTAGAAGAAATAAAATGACGATGGAAACGCATAAAAGGCGTAGAAGACACGTTCCATTCCTCTTCCTTTGAGAATCTCCTATTCGAAAAACCATCGAAACATTGGCAAGAGGCATTCCCACGAAGAGGCACGACACTTCCAATCTTCGGTTGATCGAGTGCAATCTAGCCAAAGTCCCGAAGCCTTTCTCCCCTATCGCGGCAGTCTATCTCGATCCCATCGGCCCTCCCTTATTTCCGAATCGGCCTGCTCGATCCGAGGCTGTAACGCAGGTGCGGCGATGGGGGAAACATCGGGATGCACCGACGCGGAAAACGATCGGATCGCTCGGAACTTCAAGGACACCGCGATCCGCGAACGAAGCGAGCGTATCTCCTCGCGCGGAGCGGGTATCTCGGCCTCGACTGAAGCATCCCCGGCATTCGCGTTCTCCGGGAATGGTGGGCCGCGGTTTTTCGTAGGCGAGCGCCGAAAGACGAAAGAACGGGGGCAACGCGTAGGCCAGATAGACCAACGTACAGAACAGGCCGAAGAAGCGCGAGAACGGTCGAAGAAGAAAGCGAGCAAGAGAACTGCAGTGTGGAACAGCGAGAGAAAGCAACAGCACGGAGGGGGAGAGAACGAAGAGGGAGCAAGAGAAGAGAGTAATTAACAGGAATAAATAGAAAAGGGGACGGAGGCTGTTGGAGAGATGAAGATCGAGATGAAGATCAAGAGAAAGTAAGAGAGAAGACGGAACAGAAATGGAGAGAGAGCGAGTGGGGCGGAAGCTCGGGCAGAGGATCAAGAAAAGACGAAGCAGGAGGCAGAGGAGAGGCGGCGAAGTAGCTGGCCAGAAATAACTAATAAGACATTCACTCTGAGACGGGCGGCCAGCCGGCCCGGACGAACGCGGTGCGTCTCGTAATCTCGTAATCGGAACCTCTCATCACACATCTTCGTTTACGATCACACCACACCAACCGTTCGTATCGATGCATCAAACGGGTGAAGCAAAAGAAAAAGCCGAGATAATATAGTCTCCCCTCGCCGGGAGCCGACGGGCCGGAGAAATCGTTAGGACCGACGACGCGACGTGCGCGAAACGTGAAACGTGAAACGTGAAACGTGAAACGTGAAACGTGAAACCTAAACTTCGCGGAACACGCGCGTTCGTTAAACCATAAACCACACTGTAAAACACGCGTACGCGGCGTCGCGGAGGCGCGAAGTGCGGTGCAATACGAATAATCCCCGTGCGAGATCGTCGCCGTCGTAATCTCTTGGTGTCCCAGTTCTTCTGAAGTGCCTAATTCCGTACGCCGCTTCTCCGGACTTGCATTCGAAAAAGAAACCGAACGGATACGAACGATCCGAGAAACCCTGGAAACTGACCAACGAGAGAGAGAGAGGGGGCAAGGGGAAAGATTCCTATCACGTAATCTATCAGTGCAAGTGATCCATCGGTCGTGAACGTATCGCCTTACGGGCGCTCGTTCCGCCCCCCATCGGCGTGGAAACGTACCCTAGAACCGCGAGAAACCGAGAAAGAGGCGGCGAAACTATCGAAATCCAAGACCGAGAGGGACGGACGACGGACAGAGGGACAGGGAAAGAGGGAGACAGAGAGGGAGAATGGTGATCTCTCTTTTCGCCGTCGCCATCGCCGGTCTAATTTTAAGTGTTAGATAATGCACACCGGTGCGCACCGGTGCGCTCCGTTACTAAAACGGTACAACGGCGCACTCGCGATGCACACGCTAGCTGGCCCAGCAGCTCGCGCAAGCTCGCTCGCGGGAGGAGTCTGACGCCGACGGTGCAAACTCGCACCGATCGTTCGACCGACTGCAGCTCGTTCCGATTTCTTCCGGAAATCCCGTTGCGCTGCCGTCTCGAGCCTCTCTCCTCGACGATCCTCCGATGTTCTTAGTATTTCAATTATCCGCGTTTATTATTTACCGTTGCATCTCCTCCGAGCTGCTCTATAGAGCCCACTCCGTTCTTCTTGTTTCCCTCTTGCTTCCCTCTTGCTTCCGAACGCGTACGTGTCCCACGGTTCAAGAGACTCTTTGCCCGGATAATCCACGCGGTCCCATTCTCGTTCGAAGTTTGAAATAGACTCCGTGCCCCGAGAGACCGGCTCGGAATCACCGAGGAGTGACTCGCTTCGAGAGTTTTTACCGCGGTTCCCGGACACCGAAGAGCACCGGTCCTTCCATCGCGCCTTAGATTTTCCGGCCCCTTTTGCTCCGCGTCTGTCTCTCGGCGACGTCTGATCCTTCATCTCGTCCGACCGAGTCCCTTCCATCCGTTCCCTCCTCCTCCCACTGTCGGCGAGTTTATTCCCGATCGACGGGTTCTCGGGATACGTTTCTCGCTGGTTTCTCGGTTTGCCGTGGCTCTCCTCGGCTGCTAACAAACGTCACTCGATCGACCGGAATACTGCCGGCGCGAGCTTCTTCTTCGATACGGTCCTGGCGTTTTAATTGCGATTCATCTTCGCTCGCGCCCTCCTTTCGGACGCACAATGGGGCGCCTCGTTTTCCGTTCTCCCTCTTGTCTCGCCTCTACGGCTTCTCTTTTAGCTTTTCTTTCCGGCGGTGCGCTTCCTTCTTCCACGGTCCCGCTCTGCTCCGTGACGCTCGCCCTCTCTCAATTCGCCTCTTCCTTCCCCTTTGTCTTTAATTTTCCCTTCGTTTCTCTATAACTCTATTCTTCTCCATTCTACCGAGATCCATACTTTCGGGTTTTCACAGCGCATCTCTGCCTCCCAGATTTCAGCTCTAGCTCTCCGTTCCTCAG